CAGGAACAAGCCAGTGCTCAGGGGCTCAGTCTTCAAGGACTGCCATTGCCTGGATTGCAATCACAGGGACTTGCCGTCGAAGCAAGTGTGTCCTTAGATAATGCTTCAGGTATGGGGTTTTATGTATGTAGAAGCAATAATGTTCTACAGAAGATCGCCCAATCGTTTCCCTTCGGCAAAGTTTCTCAATCTTTTTACTTGTTTGCCACAAGCTTTTGACAAAATTTGGCGTAGTTTGAGCGGTCACATCGTTCAGGCTTCTTTTGTAATCATTCAATATAGAATCTATTCCCCTCAGGTCGTTTCAAGGATTATTTACAACACCGGATGATTTGACAGTTCAATAGTATATGGAGCCCATCGAAGTTACAAAAATTTAAGAAAATATGTAAAAAATTCAAACAACTTAGTGTTTCAATGTTAGGTGTTGGGTAGAAGCCAATTTTTTTTACAATTTTGTTGTTGTAGGACCAGGGAGTGAGGATGAATATGATGCCCCTCCTTGTAGTGCCCAAGGCTCCTCGGCAGGACACAGTGCCCCCAGGTCTCCTCTGCCGCCTGATAGTGGGCATGGAGTGGCCGAATTTGAGAGTGGAAGCAGTGTGGACTCCATTGCTGCTGAGCCAGCATCCAGTATTGAGACTATTATTGTTGACGGCGTTCAGGCAGGTTAGCATGATAACACACGGTAGAATACTCTGTAACATTACGTTTCTCACGTCAGGATGAACAAGCATAGTTGTTTTTTCTAAGCAGTGCCGAATACTGTCGATTTTGGTCTTTTCACAGTTGGAATTAGCGTATTTGTCCAATGTGACGTTTTAAATAGATTACTTAAGCAATTGTTGTTGCAAAGGCTGGTTTTGCTTACAATTTCCGGCTCAAAAAATTCTGTCCGGTAGTCCGGTACTAGTGGATTTTCGTGGTGGTCAATTTAATTTTAAAGCTTTTGTACCAAATGGCGAAGGGTGCAGGCGAGTCATCTTGTTACTGAACGGTATTTAAGACGACCAAGCAATGGCTGCAGGCAACCGAAATGCGAGAGCTGGGTAATTCCAAGTTTATTTCAAGCCCTGTGCGGTCAATGATATGGAAGTTAGTAGTAACTCAGCGGTTTTGTCACCATGGTTGCTGGATTATTTTTTGATATTCGTTGCCATTATCTACGAGGAACATGGCTTCTGGGTATTCCCATACCTTGCTTTCATGAAAGATAGAACTTTCAGCCCCGAGCAATAAAAAAATTGATATTAACACCCTTGTTTCAGTTTTTTATTTCTGATTTGATAAAACAGGTGTCATTATCTTGGTAGCAAGTGACTGACTGCCCAACATATTCAGAGTTTTCAAGTTTGTTATTCTTTCTTTTATATTGTTAGGTACCGCGGAGAGTAAGCTCGGGAGCGAAGGTAACAGGGATGAAGATCCGGAAGGAGGACCACATCAGGCTACAAAGGAAACTTTGATGGATCAGGAAAAGTTGCACTCATTGAGGCTTCTGCTACTGGATGAACTGTTGCTTCACCTGCCTCAGCTGAAGGACGTAGGTGGTGTGCAGGCAATACCCTTCATGCAGGTATGCGGCGACGCGTGTTTAATTCAGACCGGTAGTTAAATCAGGGTTGAAACAGTGTCAATAAAACGGCGTTGTAAACCTTGGCCAAATCCGTTATCTAAAGGTTGTTTACTCAAGCTCGAGGCTTGTAGTGTAGTCTAGAAAAAGAATTACATACTTGAAATAAGCCAGTCAGAAATAGATATGGTGGTCCACCGATTTTAGAGAAGCTTGACTTCGCTCTTAGTGAAGAGCGGAGTCTGTCTGTTTTGCAGTGTGTGAAATTCAATCGCAGTTGTGTTGAACATGATGGGAAATATAGAGTTGCTTCAACACAGATAAACATAAAACAAACGTTTTAACTAAAAAGCCTTATTCGCTTCATTGTTGGTTGATAAGGTCTATTTCTCTGTCTTTCCGCTAAAGATCAGTCTGGAGTAAAATGCCGTTTAAGAAATCACCATTTTCCACTGCCCAGGTTATGGGCGTATCACCAGCAAGAAAAATTAAATGGTGCTACTATAAAATGAAGGACACCCGTTCTTAGGGAGCTGTGCTGCATATGCATTATCATGGAGTAGCAATCAACCCCATTACAGTATCGACTGAATACACTGCTATATAACTAGTCGTTGATCTGTAGCGTTGTTGGTTTGGAAATTCTCTTGAGCCTCTTAGATAACGAAATATATTGATGTGTGTTTAGGTGATGCTCATGTTGACATCTGACCTGGAGGATAATGAAAGAGACAAAGTTGCTCTGAATAAAGTGCTGTCCACCTGCTTGAAGGAATTGACCCTCGAACAGATGGTAAATATGTTAAATGTCTCTTAGATTGAGAAGACTTTGAGAAGGCTTTGTAAACTATCTTGTTTGAAATTAGAGTTATTACCGGATACCTTCAGGGGTGTCCAATCAATTGTTGTTTTATTTTTATTGAATGTATATGTATGCATTGCGAGACTGACATAAGATAATTGTTGGCTTTTTCGAAGGATATAAAGCAGGTTTCTTCCCGCACAAAGCAACACGAAGTATGGTTGATCATTATGAGATTGTTAAGTGTTCTGATGTCAAGGACAAAGTCCCCTTATAAGACTGCTTCAGAGGTAATGCTATGATTCATTAATCGGACCTTTACGTGATTTTTTATTTCACTATGTGATTTTTTTTTTGGTTTCAAAAGGTTAGGCTGTTAGCACTTTCTCCGTCTGTCTACTAATGAGGCCCTGTTTCAGCGGGAGATGGATGTTATTCACACAAAACCATATTTCCTGTTAAAATAGAGACCAAGACACTTCAACTTGCCTTAAAGTAAAAATTACATATATGGTACATAAGTAGTTAGGTCAACAGACTTGCAAAATTGTTGTTTTTGTTGTGGTAGTGTTTTTTCCCCTTTCTTTTATGACCGTGTTTTTTGAGGGCCATCTTCGGTGGCACACTAGTAGTGATTATGCCACGGTGTTTCGCGACTTTCTTCTGAATTCCTTGGATTTTAGGGCTGTTGGTACATGTAAATGATATTTACGTTGGGTAGGTTATTTCTAAACTTGCTTAGTAGCAAACTGACTCCGCACTCGTGTTGTTTTACAGTCGTCTTCGTTAGTATGTAGACAGACAGCAGCCACATTGTGCGATGTTGGCATCACATCTAACTGTTTGGGAATTCTTAAAACTCTTTTGGAGCACTGGAGAGAGGTGGCCAGCCACGAAGAAGTAAGGCTTTCTGACTAAGTAGTTAATGGCATGCATTCTTTTAGTAAATAGAAACTGGATTATTTGCTTTGTTAAATGTTATAAAGGTGAAAAGATAAAGGCGCACACCAGCCAAAGGCCCAAACGACTGGAGCTTATCCCGGTTTCTTTAGCATAAAGCATGCCTAGGAGTATTGCTACTCACTCTAGACGGGATGCTACTCCATCGTAGGGTTACCCCCCAGCAGTATGTCGCCGGTACCCATTTATACCCCTGGGTAAAGAGAGACAAAGTGGATTAACGTTCCTAGTCTAATGATACAAAGTGACGAGCGAGGCTTGAACCGCGGATCTCCAGATCTAAGAACTTAAATATGTGTTAAATGTTATGGCGAAGAAAATTTAGGACAGTTTGAGTTTGAGGGACGTTATCTCGCCACGGTTGTTGGTTCCCTCTCGGTTAAAGTCTCACACTGGTGAAAATTGTTTTATTTAATGCCTACAGGAGGAGGCATCAGGTATTGGTGGATCATTACTCAAACCCCAGCCGTCAAGTCCCCCACCAGACATGTCACCATTCTTCCTTAGACAGTATGTCAAGGTAGGTGCAAGCTTAGTTAATAAAGTGCAACGGTTTTGAAGCCCGTCAGACCTCTTTGTTATATGTTTTCGTTCTGCAATGTTAGAAAGAGGCGTTATAGCTTGATTTTTTTTTGTCATTCCAGTACGTGAACAATTTTGAGACTTCGTGAAATGCTTTGTAACAGCTTATTTAGTTTGAAACTCTTTTTATCTAGGGCCATGCAGGAGATGTGTTTGAAGCTTATCCACAGTTGTTAACAGAAATGGCGTTGAGGCTCCCATACCAGGTTGAAATGTTTTTGCCATCTCTAATTCACCAGAAATCACAAATGTCTACAATGTGACTTTTTAGTTAGGTTAAGAATTCAGTAAAGCTTGTATTTACGCTGGTGTATAATTCGTTTGTGATACTATGTTAAGAGACATTGAGCACGTAAAATATACTTTTTTGTAGGTAAAGAAAGTCGCCGATTCTCTTCATCTTGAGAATTCTCCAGAGTTTGGTGAAGAATGGTACCAATTCTTATGCGAGGTATGTTCTACATGATTACATTTCACTTCGGTCAGTGTACAAAGGAATATATTTTGTCTTATTAAAACAAAAACATGCTGTCAAACAGATACAGTGGGATATTCACGTGCTTTTTCTTACGAATGTTTTTTCGAGGCGACACAGTTTCTTAAATAGTGAACCAGTTGCATGTTTTGTTTTTTGAACAATCCTTTAACAAGCAGATCATTTTAAACTTTGTCTGAAATAACAGGAAGTTTCCTCAGCTTTGAACGTCTATATTTTTTTTGCATTTCAGTATCTTTTAATCCAGCAAACGCCATTTGTCCGACGACAAGTTAGAAAGGTATTGCTTCTCTTTTGTTCTGCTGTAAACTGTATTGTTCTGTGTGGACATCGACTTACAGTAATGTTGTTTGTTTGATTGTTTGATTTGGCATGATGATGTTGTTGTTTGTTTGTCTGTTTTGTTTTTTATTTTCATCTAGAGCCTTCTTCTAAACTATCCTCTTCTCTTTAACTGATTTCACTTATTTCGAGATTTTCCAACTTTTTTGCTCTTTTGTAATATTTCATAGTTTCGTTGACCTCGATCGAATGCTCCTCTTAGGCCTTCCTCGAACTTGCTAAAGAGTGGTTTTCCGCGAGCTTTGCAAATTACGTGGCTGTGGTAGTGTTTTCCTTAGTACCTAAAACACGCGCGAGTTTTCTCTCGTTGTCCCTTCATTATCCATTTCACGCTGAGATAAAATATCGTTGAAAATTGCAAAATCTGCGATTTCACGCAATATTTGTAGTTTTCTTGAAGGCCTCCATCGAACTTTATGTCCCTTTTTTCTTCCTCTACAAGCCTGTGAATTTTTGCAGTTTTTGTAGTTGTTGACTTTATTTTTTTTTCTTCCTTTTTTTTCCTGTTCTTATGTAGCTGTTACTTTTCCTATGTGGATCAAAAGAGAGCTATCGCCGACTGCGAGACCTTCATGCTCTCAAGTCTCACATGAAGGCGGTCAGGTAAACAGTACACTTATTTATTAAATTACAGTAAAAAAACCCGCGTCTAAGAACCTACTTTTTTGAACTATGGCAAAATAAGTTATTGTATTTTGAGGTACTTATTGGCAATTTAGGCGAAGTCGGCTCCTAATTAGGCTCTTAATTTCCCTAACGAAACTGATTACAGAATTTACATACAGTTTGGTACCATATGTTCTTGTTATTCTTAAATTTACAATCTCAAAGTTACATTCCTTGGTTAAATTGTTGATCATAATTTAACTGTAACCCACATATAAGAACCGGCTTGATCTTGCTTGGCTAAACAGCTTCTTGTATATTTGGGTATCAAAGTGGCAACGTTCTGCCAGGAGGTTCTTATAAGCGGGTTTTCACTGTATTTAAACCATTCTCTTCTATTAATTTACACATGAATCTCGCTGTCGGTCATTCTCTGATAACCTACATTGTATCGGGGCCTACTGTAAAATTGGCTGAACTCGAAGACTGTGTGCATTCAGTTTACATCTGAAGGGTGCGGTGTTGCCCTTTGTCATTTCCTATAGATGTAGTGGGGATAACTTGCTAAAATATATAGCAAATTCCTTTTATTTGATCATGTTGTACGTGTTTATTTTCTCGTTTTATTTTCTCATTGATATGCCAATGAGAAATTGGATAGGGTTAAGATTTTGACAAATTTTTATGTGGTTGTTTTAAATGTCTCTTTTGAGAGGCTTGCCAAAAGAAACAAGGCTTGCCTTTCAATGTGAAATTAACGAGTTTACGTATATTTTTTCAGGGAACTTAGTGAACAAGGTGGATTCAGTTATGAGGTTTCCAAATTTACACCAATCAGTCTTCCATATGATACTCTTATTACTTTGGTAAGTACCGCTGTTAGACACTGTGTTTTAATTACTAGATAATTTATAAACTCTTAAACGTATCCATGATATGGATGCCAATGACATCGTTAAGTAAGAGTGGTGAGGCTCACTCTGATCTGAACTCTCCAGTATTGACAATTGAGGGTATGTGCCTACAGTTGTGGTTTGGACGGGCACTGAATGTATAGGCATTTTTAGGCACCAATTAAGTATTGTTTCTGGGAATTCTTTTGACTGCATTTGGCGCAACCTTTTTTGGAAACATTAGTTCGTGCAACATTAGGGGGGGGGAGATTTCCAAACAGAGTTGGGGGATTCGAAAACTGAGAATGCTACAGGAGCAATAAAAAAATCCGAATCGTGTTACGCAAGTTAAATACAAATACAATAGTAATTGCATTTAAGATAATTATTTTGCTTTGGTTCCAGATTGAACACCTTAAAGCATGTTCGGAAGTGGCATCAAGTCGTATAAGCAACTGGCAAGCATTCTGTCTTCAGGAAAAAGGTACACACCACTTTTGATCATTAATGAACTTATGCAATAAGACAGCAGAGGAAGAAGAAGGCAAACTTTACGTGACAAGCGTGACAATAATAACGTTTGAAAAACTTTCTCGCTAAACTTGACCCTCCTTTAAAGATTTTTTTTTGTAAAGAACGGAACACTTTAATGATAAGTGAGGATTACGATAAAACACGCTATTAATAGTCCTGTCGCGTTTCTCTGACCCAAACGTGTTGCAACGGCTTTAACAGTTTTATGTGTCGTGTGTTGTTGGAATCAATACGTCACGCTTCACTGTATTGAAGCTCCTAATGTTTACTGCAGACACGTTGCCATTCCTGTTGAGGAGCAGCTACTTGTTTGAGGAGGGTGTCACGCCACTGATGTTACAGCTTCTGGGTTATGCCATCTGTGAAATGAAGTCACAGCCATCTACCTCACCACAGAAGAGCAGTAAGAAAGACAAGGACAAGGAGAAAGACAAGTCAAAGAGTAAAGACAAGGACAAGGATAAAGATAAAGACAANTTGAAGCTCCTAATGTTTACTGCAGACACGTTGCCATTCCTGTTGAGGAGCAGCTACTTGTTTGAGGAGGGTGTCACGCCACTGATGTTACAGCTTCTGGGTTATGCCATCTGTGAAATGAAGTCACAGCCATCTACCTCACCACAGAAGAGCAGTAAGAAAGACAAGGACAAGGAGAAAGACAAGTCAAAGAGTAAAGACAAGGACAAGGATAAAGATAAAGACAAAGATAAAGACAAAACAGCAGGTAATATAGAAAGTCTTGAGGTATTTTCTTGGCTAAAATGTCACCGCATAACCGAAGAGGTGTGGCTTTCACGTAAAAACTCTGCGGAATGCAAATATGTGGGTTCGCTGCTAGCGGAGGCCTCTTTTCGGGGAAATATGCGGGTTGTTATTTTTTTGTTGTTGTTTTAAAGGTCGTGTTGGCCTTGGCCAGCGCTGTAGCTGTGTAACTTGTCCAACAATGACTTCGCGCAGGTTGTCAAAATGTCAGTCACTATCAACAACAGTCCTATTGAGGAGTACACTCACTCGGATAATCATATTCAGTCTACTCATAACACAATTGCTGAGCTCAATTAACATTATACATGTAACTTGTTCGCTTACTTAATTAGAGTTTGTGAAAATTAGGGACGGAGTAAAGTTGTATTGACTATGTCTCATTTTTCTTACAGGTTCAACTGACAGTGGAAGAAGCGAAGGTAATTTAGTTGCTATTGCTTTGTATTACCGCATTCCCACTCTTGATTTGAATGTTTTGCCATGAACATGGCGACATGATGTTGCCCAGCTAACATTGCTGCATGTTACGGCTTCTTACGGTTCTGTTATGCAATTTACCTAATGTATTAATCATCTCTTACGCTGTCTTATACATGTAACTAACGCTGTGCGATTGCTTGATTAAGAAAAGGGCATTCTGCTCAGTAAAGACAGTCAGATTTAGCGTCTTTTTATCAAGCCAGCATTAATGGCGATTGATGAGAGTTGCCTTGTTTTTCTCTTGTTCATAGCAGCTGCTCAAAGCCTGGTACAGTTGTTAACCGAAGCTGTCGATGAAGACGTGATGAGTCAGTTTGTCCAGAATTTCCTTTTGGAATCAAACTCCACCGCTGTGAGATGGCAGGCACATGAGCTGCTCTACAGCATCTACAAGTATGTTTATCACCTGTTTAAAGTTTAGGATTAAGAATTGTAAAAAAAATGTTAATATACTTGTATTCTGGGACATCAACAAACAACAATAAACAACAACACTTTATTCCGTTTTTAAAAAGGACAATATATAACCGCAGTTAGCATACCGTAAAATTCCGTAAATAAGCCCCGGGGCTTATATTTTTCAATTATATTTTTCTTATCTATGGAGGGAAATTTGCGTTTCAAAATCGATTGGGCTAGCCTTATAGTTGGAAGGAATTGTTACCGTTTTTGCCTTCTTTTACTTTGTATTTGAGGGCAATTTCCAAGTACAAGCCCCTGGGGGGCTTATATTTGGAGGGGTGATTTAACGGAGGGTTTTTTGCGTTACGAGTTTGGGGGGCTTATATTTGGAGGGGCTTATACATGGAGGGGCTTATTTTCGGAATTTTACGGTAGCTAATCGAAGTAGGTTAAAAAGAATTATAAAAAAAAAACATCAAACAAAATGAGCCGTCAAAACCAGGACAGATTTGGAGGTAGCCTACGAATCCGTCGCTTTCGTTTCATTTTAGCCAATCAAAATAAAATTGGGAGACGTACGAGGGAATGGGGATTAATAGAGAACAAAATGAGCGGATGGTGGGGCGGAGCAGGGCGGGGGTAGTTTCCTCTCTTTGCCCACTTAGCGTATGTCCTGCCATGTGAGTTTCATGCTTTTGCTCAGTAAGGAGGATTTTGGTTGCCAATCTGCTGGCTCTCTTGTGGCAATGCAGGTCCAAGATAGTGGAAAGCAGCTCATAATTTATTGTTTTTGTTTGTTTATATGTAGATATTCAAACAACAGTCAGCAAGTGAAGCTATCAAGTATGATGTGGAAAATCTGGCCATGTTTACCGGACTATGGACGGCGAGCTGCACAGTTTGTTGATCTTTTGGGTTATTTCACGATCAAGTGTGAATCAAATACTGATGAGGTACTAACAAGTGTTTTGTGAATTAATTTGGTATTAAATTGAAGTGTTTGGGGCCAAGCGTCTCCAATACAACCTTTGTACTGGGGTGAACATACTGATAATTTATAATGAATGACCACCGCACTGTTTGTCGAAACGTCAGGTACTGGCAACAACAGTCCTATTCAGGACTACTTCTACCCGGACGATCAAACACAACCTACTTAAGAAATGACTCCTGGATTCAAACCTTTTACAATTTATAATGAGACAAGTGCAGAGAACGCAAAATGTGCGACTTTGTAGTACCTGTGATAATGTTGCAGTTTTCAAGGTCCAGAATAGTTTTCTACTGCGCTTTAACAAAATTGGAACAAAAACTCCAAAATTTCTGCCCCTTCATCCTTGTAGCAAGGAGAGGAGGAACCAAAGAGAACGAATAGAAGCATCTTGATGCTGAAATATTTTCTTGGACCTTCTCGATTACATTCATTGTTGTCTCCTTAGCGAAATTTTAAACCTCTTATAGAACGATTTAGCTGGTGAATGTAGTTTGAAAATATCCTTTTTTTTGGCTAATTATTTTTTGGAGTCCATCTTAACTTTGGCATATCTGCAGTTGCAGGATTACTGTGTGAAAGCAGTTCAAGTTCTAACGAAGCAGAATAATGTTCTTTCCAACCATCCGAACTCCAATGTATACAGGTGAGAGACTGGTCTCTTGCGGACTACCCTTTTTTGCAGAAACGGTAGTATAAAATTGCGATATTTATGAGACTTGCAAGTCAATCTGTGACGAAGATAGCAAAGATGGCGAAAATTCACACCCTTGCGCTCTGTGTTTTTTAGGATGTTGTCAGGATTTGTAGAGTTTGATGGCTATTACCTGGAGAGTGATCCTTGCCTTGTGTGTAACAATCCGGAAGTTCCATTCCAGGTGAGATTTTTTTATAACTAATGCCTATACAATACAGTTAAGGAACTATGCTTGCTCAATGCGCCATTACTTTTCTTGTTATCGCTTTATTTTGTTCTTTCTAATGTACTGGCTTGATGTTATTATCAATAGCTTAGTCAAAATAATGCTTTAAAAGCCCAGGCTTTTCGTCCAATGTTATGTTTGATCGCATGGACGGGCCTAAGATATTTCAGAATTTTTTCCAAATACTCATCCGGCCATTGATCTTTTGTAGAGCCTGAAGCTGTCTAATATCAAAGGAGACTCTCGCTTCACCACCACATGTCAGCTTGTAAAACTGATCGGAAGTCACACAATCTCACGAGTGACACTAAGGATTGCAGATCTTAAACGGCAGAAAATGGTAGGTTATCATTAAAATATTACAGCAAATTCTTGTGATAACTCAAACAGAAATGCCCCTTTTTAGGCTGTTACTATATTTGTAGAGATGATTCTACAAGCTTATCTCTTATTGTCAGGTCCGAACCATAAACTTGTACTACAACAATCGCACGGTGCAAGCAGTTGTGGAACTTAAAAACAAGTGAGTTCATCATGTAGGCAGATTGTTTAAATTTCTCTATCTGTATATCAGAAGCTTTCTAGAAGGCAACCTTTGTGTGTTGATTTTAGTTTAATTTGGTAATTGAAAAGTGGTTGAAAATTGATTTGTTTTACAGGAGGTCGCTGTGGCACAAAGCAAAGAAATGTCATCTTACTCCTGGCCAAACGGAGCTTAAGGTTTGGAATCGCAGAGTATCTTATGTGACATTTTGTCTGGAATGCAGACCTTTGCGTTGAGGGTAAATCTCTTCTTTTCTTTTTACAGGTCGACTTTCCCCTGCCAATAGTTGCCTGCAACCTGATGATCGAATATGCCGATTTCTATGAGAACTTTCAGGTGAGATTTTTTACAAAAGTGCCTCAGAAAGTGTTGTGCAACTATTTAACAGCTCGATTAGCGCATCTT